GGGCTTCAGGAAAATCGTTCTGGCAGCTGTGTGGAGGACAGACTGGAAAGGAAAGTAGAGGCAGTAAGATCAATTATGAGGCTGTGGCAATAATCTAGGTGACAGGAGATGAGGTTCTGAACTAAAGGTGGTAGCTGTGTGAACAGAGAGGGGATGAATGTGGTTGTGTTCAGTCACTTCTGACTCTTCGTGACCCCATTTGGGGTTTTCTTGGCAAAGATACTTGGAGTGGTTTGTTATTTTCTTCTCATTCCAGCTCATTTTTTGAGGAGGGTAAATAGGGTAAAATGACTTCAGCCGGGTTACATAGCTAAGTGTCTGAGGAGAGATCTGAACTCAGGTATTCCTGATTCCAGGCCTGTCACTCTATTCATTGAGCTACCCAGCTGCACACCTAGCTGGTATGCAATAAGGCAAACTGACTGAACCACAGGATGAAAGGCAGCCATATACACATGTATAATAAGGCTGGAAAGGTAGGGTGAGGCCTGATTGTGAAGAGATCATAGTATCACAGATTTAGAGTTGGAATGGACCTTAAAAGCTATGTAGTCAGTCCAATACCCTCATTTATGATGGGGAAACAGGGTTAAAGGGCTTTTCCATGGTCACAGTTTGGCACAAGAGGTGGGATGTGAACACAATTCCTCCTGACTCCAAGCCTAGGACTTTACCCATTTCATCAAAGGCTTTAAATGCCAAGCGGATTTTTTACTTGATCTTACTACTTAATAGGGTGCCAAGGAGTTTTGACAGGGCAATGACATGATCAGATCTAAGCGTTAGGAAAAAGAGATCTGGTCACATCTGAAGGAAGAAGGGGTCAACATACAAGATTGACATTTAGGGGAAGGGGATGATTGAAGGAGCAAGCTCTCAGAGGCATCAGCAAGAAAGAAGTCCAACAGTTAGTATTATCTAAGAAAAGGGCCACCCAATCCTCTGAGACTGGCACAAAGGAGGAAGGAGTCAGGGATGAATGTTGAAGTGATCTGAAGTATGGATTTGAAGTAAGGGGAGGAGCTCTTAACAGGTTGGTCCATTTCCTTCAATAAAATGAGTCAAGGTCCTCTATGGAAGCAGACCAAAAATCAATGTGCAGGTGCCTTGAAGAAAGGTTTTGAAAAGCCCCTGTAGTTTGTAGGACAGAGTCAATCAGAGCAGAATAAAGCATCACTGCAGGCCCAGGTGAGGCTGATTAACAAATGTGCAGTGAATGCTGCTGGCACAAGTTCTCCAGAATGCGAACAATGAAAAAGGCAGGTTAAGAATGACTCAGGATTGGGGTTTGGGAAGGGATGCGTGGCAACAGGTCAAGGCCACAAAGAATTCAAGGGTAGAGGCCAAGGTACAGTTAAGAGGTTAACTACAGGATCACGATTTTGGAATTATACATGAAAAGTTACTAAAGTATTCACACCCTTTGGCCAAGCAATTCCACATATACCCCAAAGAAATCAAAGACAAAAAGGAAGATCCTATGATATACCAAAATTTTCAGAGTAGTGCTTTTTGTGGTGGTGAAAAACTGGAAACAAAACCCATTGATTGGGAATGTCTTTTAAAATTTTTGCTTTTGTTTTTACCCCACCTCAATGTATTTATCTCATTTCTCAATATGTTCCCCCTCTCCCATCAAATGCTATCCCTTTTAACAAAGGAAAAGAGACAAAGAATAGCTCAGTAAAACTAACCAACACATCACCTACATCTAACGTCACGAAGGGTGTCCCACGCCCGAAGTCCCCATCTTTGCAAAGGAAAGGCGACATGCTCTTGTCTCTTATTTACTGTAATTCCAGAGTTTAATCTTTGTTCTTTCCGCTGACTGTTTTAGTCACTGTGCATATCTTCTTGGTTCTGCTTAGGGGAAAGGGAGTAATAAAGATGTTCAGACAGAGATAGATAGATAGATTAAAGATAGATTTTACTGTGCCAGGCATTGGGTGAAAACTTTAGAAATATCATCTCATTTGTTCCTTACAACCACCCTGCAAGGTACACAGACATGGAAGAACTTGCCCAGAATCACACAGCTAGTGTCTGAAACTGGATTTGAACTCAGGTCTTCCTGACTCCAGGCCCAGCACTCTATCTACTGCACATCTTACTGCTTACTTCACTTTGCATCATTTCCTGTGCCTTTCCATGTCACTACGTATACAGAGTTTATATTACAATATTCCATTTACATTCACATATCATAACTTGTTTAGCCACCCCTTAATAAATGAAAATCTAATTTTTTTCCCCAGTTCTGTACTACTACAGAAAGGGCTATAAAAATATTTTGGTGTATATAGGACCCTTCTTTTTATGACTTGACCTTTTTGGGATGTATATATCTAGCAATAACATCTTTGGGTCCTAGCATATATGGACACTTTAGTTGACTGGGCAATGATCAAGCAAATTATGGTATGCAAATGTATCAAATCCTTCTGAGAGGCAGCATGGCATGTGGGACACAAAGCCAATAGAACAAAGACAGGCATCTGAAACAAACTAGCTGTGTGACCCTGGAGGAATCACAATTTCTTTCAACACCCAAGGCAAGTAGCCACTAAGACCAAAAGTTACTAACAGAGATCTGCACTGGTAGAGACAGTTCCCTACACTTATGAAATCACTGGTCTGGAGACGAAGAAATTTAAAAAAAAAATCTTGAGGAATATGAGGAATTCAGAGGAAAAAATTTGTATGAAAAAATACAGAGCAAAGTAAGCAGAACAAGAACGAATCTTATCATTAAAAGGCTGAATGTGGAACACTGGGATTGACACAGTTGCTCTGTTGGCAAAACTTTTTTTTGTTCCAAGAGCAGAGTGAAGAGTCTATAAAGGAATGATTGTGATGTGAAAAAGGACACTAGTAAAAATGAGAAAAAAAAAAGGGATATATTTCACCATACAAAACATTCATATGGCCTGCATATTTATTGATCATGTATCCCACATCAAAAAATTTTGGACATCCCCACTCTATACAGATAGAGTAGGTGATATTATTATCAAGGTAGTTTACACTAAATGCAAACCAGTCAAATTAGATTTTATTACACAAAAGTTCACACTACTATGTAAGGCTACACAAAATTCAACACTGATGTTTGGCAGCCCTCACATACAGACAGACTGGTATTTCACAAGCCAAAAGACTTTTCCCATAGCAATTTAATCCTTCTCTTACTCTGGAGTGGGCTCTCCATATTCTTGGACAGCCACAAGTGTCCTTTGTGCACAGTCATAAATACCCACATTTCTGGTGTAACTGCTAACCAGTCAATTCTATTGGGGGCAAAGGCTCTTTAACAGATGTCTTTATCCCTGGGAGGCTTCTCCGCCTCCGAGCTGCCAGCTCAATCTTCTGGACCAGCTCCACATCCCACCGATGAGTCACAAAACTAAGCACGGATCCCAGCACCTCGCTCCCCACTCGGCCCACTCTGCCAGCTCTGTGAATATAGTCCTGCAAAGTGGGTGGAAAGTCATAATTGATAACCAGCTCCACCCGGGTACTGTCTAGGCCCCGAGAAGCTATATCTGTACAGATGAGAACGTCCCTGGTGCCATTCTGGAAGGACTGGAAGATGCCTACTCTCATGGAGGCAGGCATCTGTCCCTGAAGCCTCAGGTGTAGAATTTTGTGCTCATCCAGGATGTAGCCCAGCCAGTTCACGGTACTGGAACTATTACAGAACACCAGAACAGCCCCAGATGAGGCGGGCTTGTCTTCTCCTCGGTGCTTGAGGATCTGTATCAATTCTGTCACTTTCTCACCGCCCTTTAGCCTTAGGAACTTTTGCCTGACGTGAGGCATGATGCAGTGCAGCCTGGGGCTGGTGATGGTGGTGAGGTTGCCCAGGTCCGTGACTTTGCTCAACAGCTCTCCCACTCCCTCCGGAAATGTGGCCCCCACCAGCACCAGCTGGGCCCTGGGGTTGAAGGGGTCTTCCAGCTCGGCCAGGTGCTCGGCTACGGGGCTCTCGCCCAGGATGTATTCCACCAGCTCCAAGAAGCTCTCGTCCAGCAGGGTGTCCGCTTCGTCCAGCACCAGGAAGCAGAGCTGCTCCAGGCTCAGGAGGCGCCCCTTCAGCGCCTTCCACAGGGCTCCCGGCGTGGCCACCAGCACGTCGGCGGGGGGCTGCAGGGAGAGCTGCCGCTGGACGATGCCCATGCCCCGGCCGCCGCCGATCCCCCGCACGCACAGCTCCAGGGCCCGGCCCAGGGGCCCCACCACGGCCCCCACCTGCTCGGCCAGCTCCCGGGAGGGCACCAGCACGAGGCCGCGGGGTGCGGGGCAGATGGCGGCCAGCTTGGGCCGGCTCAGCAGGCGCTGCACCAGTGGCAGCACGTAGCTCAGGGTCTTGCCACTGCCCGTCTCGGCCGCACAGAGAAGATGGCGGCCGCGGAGCAGCGCGGGGGCACGGCTCGCAGCTGCACCCACGTGGGCCGCACGACGGTGGGCGCTGCCTGCTGCAGGGCCTCCAGCACGCGGGGCTCCAGGCCCAGCTCGGCGAAGCCGACCCTGGCCTCCCGCTCGTGCTCCGCCACGCTCTCGGCCCCGCCCTCGGCAGGCAGCGCGGGCACCTGGCGGTGCGTGCGCTCGATGGAGAAATGATCGCCGCGCGAGCGCCGGTGCTTCCAGCCGCGAGAGGCGAGCGGCGCGCGCTCCCAACGGCTCAGCGTGAGACGCGCCGGCTGGTTGAATTCGGGCCGCCGCGCCTCGATCAGCAGCGGGCCGGGCCGGGGCACCACGGCCTGCGGTGCAGGCCCGCCTCGGGGCCTCTGCCCCGCGCCGCAGCTGCAGAGGCTGCGGGACGCGGATCACAGGCAGCGGCTCCTGGGGCCCTTCCGAGGCCAGGCCCCGGCAGGGCCCACCCAGCCCCCGCAGGAGGAGCAACAAAAGGCGCGGTGGAGCCCGGAGTGCCATCACTCGGAGGCCGCTACCCGAGGCAGACCGGGGTAGGCCGGGCGCGCCGCAGTGACGTCACCGTCGCACAGCGCTTACGCACTACGGAAGCCCACGTGCGAGGGGCCGTCTGCGGCATCGCCTGAGCTCCGAGCCAGCAAGGTTCGTAGTCAGTCCCTAGAAGCGCGGCCGGGCGTTGGGTCGGGTTCTTCTTCCTCCCTCGAGCCCGCTGCCCCGGGATCCGGGCCTGGCGGAGGGTCGGGCTTCCTCGGGGCAGGGTCCCCTTCGCCTCAGGACGGGCGGGGGGCGGACCAGAGAGGCTGCGGAGGTCCGCTGGCGGGGCGGGCGGAGCGGGTCGGCGCCGTGCCCTGGGGTGGAGCCCGGGTCCTTGTGACTGAGGCCTTCAAGGCCTCCCTACCCGCAGCCTCCTGGTGGACAGCTGAGCCCGGAGGGAGGGGGATCCTTGGCACGGGGCGGCCTCAGTCTCGGGGGCTCGTGGGAGGAGCTGGACGGGCACGGGAGGGCCGCCCCCTGCTGCCCCACACGCGGGGCCTGAGACCCCGATGGACCCCAGGTGGCCGTGAACAGCTCGCATCTTTCCTAGCCCCTAACTGAAACGAGAAGCGCCCTTCGGTTACCCGAGAACATTCGTTCTTCCGAGAGGGCTCCCCAGGCTGCCCCGGTGGAAGCACAGCCTTGTCCCCCAGGGGCCCTTCGTGGGAACTGTGGGTCATCCTCCTCCGGTGGGGGGCCAGGGGACCGAGGGACTGACCCCCCCAGGGCCTCAGTGGACCCTCGGGCTTTGTGCTGCTTTCGGGGCCTGGAATCAGCTCTATTCTTTGCTTCTCACTTTATCCATCTAGTTCACCAAAATGTTCTTCCACCGTTCATTCATTAAACGTTAAGTACTGTACTAGGCATTGAAGGGCAGTACGAAATCCACCTGAGACACAGCCGCTTCCCCCTACAGAGCTTAGGGTCTAGGAGAGAACTAAAAGAAGGTTTGGGATGGTACCTTGACTAGATGGATTTAAGGAAGAATTTTTGGTATTAGAGAGGCCTGATTATGTTTGTACACAGTCAAGCAACCAGCGTTTACTGGGCACTTACTATCCTCGGGCATTGTGCTAAGCGCTTAGGAAGAAATGTCAGGTCCAGTTCCCAGAAAGGTGGCTAGCTTGCCATGGTTGGTGCTGGAAAGAAGAGCTGGACTTGAACACAGGTCTTCTAGCTGGAAACCCAGAACACCCTTGGCACTCTGTAACTCAGGTTTGACCAGATTGGGAGTGATAAAAATGAATGAGAGAGTAAATGTGTGACTGGAAAATTTATTAGGGAGCAAGGCAGTGGAGGAGGCACCTGGCCGTAGGAGTAGGGTCAAACTGGGATGGTTTACCTTATCAAGGAATGAGGGGTATTTCTTCTTAGAGAGGGTGAGGAAGGAGAGGCTGTATGAAGACACTGAGAAGTTTAGTGAGGGATCTAAGATAAAACAGTCAGTGTCAAGAGATGAGATCTGAATGGGTCTTCCTAATACTGAGTCACTATTATTATTAATAGTACTATTCACTGCACCAAGGGGCCTCCACTTTTATTAATATTGAGATAATGCTGTATGGACTGTACATTTGTTATGAGAATATAGAGAAAAGAGTGGTCTTCTTGGAAGTAAACTCTGAATTGGTACTTGAATGAAGTAATAGACTGAGATTAGTGGGAAAGGAAAAAGAAGCAGGGTGACCAAAGTTATGGATCCAAAAATGAACAGGATGTTTTTAAAGAGGCAGTCAGTGAGTTGATTTATTTGCAGAGAAACTTTATATGAGACCTTGATATCTGGATTCTTGTCATCTATCTGGTTCTATTATCTCCACTCTCTGCTCCTTTCAATCTTAGAGACTTTTACTCTACAGCTAGAGGCATAGCAAGGGAAGTCAGGAAGACTTGAGTTCAAATGTAGCTAGAATCCTTATACTGTATGACCTTGGGCAAATCACTTAACATCTGTCTGCCTTAGTTTCTTCCTTTGTAAAATGGAGATAATAATGGCATCCACTTCCCAGGGCTGTTGTGAGGATCATATGAGATAATATTTGTAAAGTATTTTGCAAACCTCAAAGCACTGTATAAATGCCAGGTATTATTATGTTCTGAGTCAGTGAAGTGGCACAGTAAATAGATGCTGGGCCTGAAGTCAGGAAGACCTGAGTTTAAATCCAGCCTCAGACACGAATTGTGTGACATTTAAACTCTGCCTCAGTTTCCTTAACTGTAAAATGGGGTTCATAATAGCCCCTACCTCCCATGGTTGTTGTGTGAGATAATATTTGTAAAGCGTTTAGCACAGTGCCTGGCACATAGAAGGGACCTAGTAAATGCTTGTCGCTTTCCGTTGTTACCCTGAGTGGTTCCCACTTAAATCTAAACCTCTTATGCATTTTTGGGCTCCCCTAACCATCATTCATATAATGCCTTTCATTTCTCATTACAGTCTTGCTCAACTAAACAATCATAATTAGCACATTACTTTCGTACTTCCAAACCTTTTTATTTTGTGGATATACTCTCCTCTCTTTCTGACTAGTTATATTCATCCCTACCTTCAGATGTTAATGCAAAGTTGATGTAGTTGTCTGGCAAATGAGCTATAAGACATTACATAGAATCCAATCACTCCACTTGTACACATTAGCAGTTATGTATCTATTGGTTGTAGTGGAAAAAGTAGTGGATTTGTAATCAGGAAAAATCTGGGTTTGAATCCTGGCTCTGATATTTACCAGCTGTATGATCATGGGTGAGCCACTTTCATCTTTTGAGGTTATTATTTTTTAAAATGTTCCAATATTGAATAAATTGTTCTTTTATTTTGGAGGGGGGGGTCTAGGCAGTGGGGTTAAGTGACTTGCCTAGGGTCACACAGCTAGTAAGTGTTATATGCCTGAGGCCGCATTTGAACTCAAGTCCTCCTGACACAGAGCCGGTACCCTATCTACTGGGCAACCTAGCTACCCCTAATTGTTCTTTCTGTAGCAATTCATACATGTCTTACCAGGTTTCTTTTAAAATCTTTTTTGTCATTTCTTACAATAATATCACATTAGTATAATTTGCTGAGCCGTCATCCAGCGTATGAGCACCCTTGTAATTTAGTTCTTTGCTACAGCAAAAAGTGCTTCTCTGTGAATATTTAGTATATATAGGTCCTTTTCTCTCTTTGATCTCTTTCAACATATGCCCAGAACTTACGTTTTAATAGAGAAAACAACATATCAAAAATTGTATGAGAGAGAGAGAGAGGGTAATCACCAAGGGAAGGCTTCTCACAGAAGGTGGGATTTGAGCTGAATGTTGAGCTGGGAGGCCTGAGGTGGACGGGGCGAGCATTTCTGGCATGGGAGATAGGAAAAAAACCATGACGTGGAGATGGAGTGTTGTGCTCCAGGAACAGCAAGAAGGCTATGTTGCTGCATCTTAGAGTACATGGAGGGAAGTAAAGTGTAAGAAGACTGAAAAGAGAGGAAATGGCCAGATTGTGTGAAGAGATTTAAAGTCAAACCAATGAGTCTATATTTGATCTTAGAGGAAACAGAGAGCCATTGGAGTTGATTCAGTTGTGGGAGGAAGTTTTTGTGACACAGTTAGACCTGAGCTTTAGGAAAATCCTTTGGCAGCTGAGTAAATAGAAGATGCATTGGGAGTGGGGAGAGTCCTAAGGAAGAAGGGACCAACCAACAGATGGTTGCAGTAGCCCAGGAAGAGGTGATGAAAGGTCCCAGCCCTAGGGTGCTAGCTGTATGAGTGGAGAGAAGGGGATGTATAAAAGAGATGTGAAAGTAGACTTGGCAGCAGATGCAGAGAGTGAGAGGAAGGAGTTGAAAAAGACACCAAGACCATGAGCCTGGGTGACAGGGAGAGTGCTGGTCTATTTGACAGTGATTAGGAAAGTGAAGAAGAGAGGAGAGTTTGGGGGGGAAAGATAATTTTTGTTTTGGACGTGTTGTGTTTGAGATGCCCATGAAATATCCCAAGTCGAGATGTCCAAAAGTCTGTTGGTGATGTGAGCCTGGAGCTTAGGAGAGAAGTTAGAGGTTGGCTATTTAGATCTGGGAATCATCTGTGTAGAGAGTGTAGTCATTGACCTCTTGGGGGCTTTCAGAATGGCCAATCAATGTAGTATGCAGGGGTTCTTAACTGTTTTTGCATTATAGACTGCTTTGGCAGAGTGGTGAAGTCTATGGACTCCTTCTTAGGATGATGTTTTTGATTGCATAAGACTGTAGGCACAGTGGATATAGCATTGGCCCTGGAGTCCAAGAGGACCTGAATTCAAATCCAGCCTCAGACACTTAACACTTAATAGCTCCTGGGCAAGTCACTTAACACCGATTGCCTCACCCCCCCCCCAAAATTACATTACTTCATAAGATTACAAAGGAAACCAATTATATTGAAATACAGTTATCCAAAAAATTTTTTAAGAGTCTGGAGACCCCAAGTTACAAACCCCTGGTACATACAGAGAAGACAAGATGGCACAGGACAGAGCCTTGAGCGACACCCACGATAGTAGAGTTGAAGAAAAAAAATTAATACTAATGATATGCTCTGAAATTTAGGCCCAAGTCTGTCAGAAACAATTTGAATATATAACCAAACCATTTATAGGTTGGAGAGAGAGATGTCTAAATGGGCATGCTTTCCAGCCTATCTCTTTGCTTCAAGAAAATTTCAGGTAACATTTGTAGAAATTTTGAATAAGGAAAAGATCATAATATGTTAAAATACAGTTTTGGGTTAATTTTCCAAAATAGTCACCCACTCAGTTTCTTCCTGGACTACTACTTCCCCTTAAAGAGTTCCTTCTTGTGATCGATATCTTAACCTTGAATTTTGAAAGAGATGACTCCTTTCTCCATGTGGGTCATGGCAGCAGTCACTCCAGTTGGTGGGGAGGCAAACATCCCATCTAGACAAGAGTTAATTAACTTTGTTTATCACCCTTACTCCATTTCAAAGGAAGCCCTTTGGTCTTTCCACTTTCTGAAAGAGAAAGGTCTAGAAAGGATTTTTGGCTAGAGAAATAGTGTGTCTTAGTATTTCTAGAGAAACCATAAAAGTTTTTTTTTTAAATATGCTTCTGTATTTGGATAAAGACCCAG